AAAAACCTTCAACCAGTTTTACTTATTGTTTTAAATCATCTCGGCCGCACTTGCCCCAAAGCCAGGCGATTAGATTTCAGCAGAGGTTGAGGCCAGGCACCGGCCATCTGAGTGCTATGACTCCAGAGCCCGGTTTCTGCCCGCTAACTCCCCGAAGCCACCTAGTCGTGGGTTGGTAGAGGCCCTTCCCGGAGTTGAGCTCCCACCTCAGCTCTCCCTTGGCTCTTGAGGTCCAGTCTTGGTGTTTTGCCCTGGCATGGTCTTTGCGCTGGTGAAAAGGTAAGCATTCCGAGAGCCTCGGTTGGCCTGCTTGGCCCAGGCCGTCCCCTCCCCGGCAGGTTCTCACGGAGAGCTGGTCTTTCCAGCAGCTGGCTTAGCTGAGAAGGCGGTCAAAGTAGCGTCAGCAGTTTGGAGGAGAAAGTGCAGGTTGATTATTGACCCACGCCTTCTTTCTTTAAATGCCACATCCGACCGGGTAGGTTTGAAGAGAAAATGCCGCAGAGCGGATTTTTCTGGCCAGCTCTCACCTCCTACGCGGCCTCCCCTTTCAAGTTGCTCCACAGCGATATGCCATAAGGAGCAAGTGTTTGCTGTTTTGTGCTCTGTTTACAGCTTTGGGGCGCCGAGTCATAAATCTTGCCCAGCCATAAATGACAAAAACCATTGGTATGCATGAGGCCACCCTGGCCCAGAGTGCTTTCTGATTTCTCCCTTTCCCCTGGCTGTGTTTTTGCTCTAAGGTGACACTTTGGCTCCCTGACAGTTTAAACATACTACTTATATTTTTAACACCTTCCTTTGAGAAGGACCCGCGTTGACGCCTCAGAATTGCACGAAACCTCCATTTCTCTCTTACTACCACACTCACACCTTTGTGGAGTTTGCTTCTGAACCTGGACAGCTGAGACAGGCTTTGGGAAGGAAACTATCCTCTTAAAAGTTGTAGCACTATTACCAGGCAAATTTGGGCGTTTCCTCTGCTCAGCTTAGGGTTCCTCCATCCCACTAATTAAGAAAAACAAAATATCAAGGATGTCGGTTTCTGTTGGAGTCAGAGCTTTATCTGTGTCTTCCCTATGGGTGAGCTGCTTGTTTCTACTGTGAAATTGGGCACAGGATCCCCGGAGAACTACATTTCTAGACACCCTTGCCTGTGTACCTGAGCCCTGAGCGTCCTATTTCACTGCTGAAACAAATATGCATCTCCCCCAGGACTCTTCTCTCCTGGCTGCCAGGATTTCAACAGTTTCTGCAGAAAAGCAGAACGAAAGACAGCCCAATTGGTTCTTGGGGAAGATCTCTGGGGAAAAGCCTTATCCAAGTCCCCCCAAAGATTGGCTTTGGGGCGCCTGGTTTGAGGTTGGCAGGTGAAGTAAACTGCCCAAAGTCTGGAGAAGTCACTTCTCTTGTTTCTCTTTCCCCTCGCCCCACAATGTAAATGTCCAGGGCAAATACGTGTTTTCTCAAATGGATTCTTAAGAAATAGAGCCCAGCGAGAGAGCCCCTTTGTGAGAGCCTTTTGTCCTCATTAGCATAATTTCCCTGGACTTCAGTGACGCCTAGGAACGAGGAGAAGGAGGACATTGGGGGTTGGGAGAGGTTACCCTCCTCCCGCCGCCGAGGAGCTCCCCCCACCTCGGGTCCCTCCCCTCGCCTCAGTCCCATCCCCCACGCCGGCCCGCGCTTCCCCAACAGCCTTGATCTCCCCTCCCGCCCTCCCAGCACCACCACTGCCCCCCCCCAGCTGCTCTGCGTGTAATATTCATAAGAAACATACCCAAGTCGGTGCCACTAGCCCAGGCAGAGCCGAGTGCCGCGCTAGCGCTTATCTCCGGGCCGCGGCTGCTGCCCTCGGGAAGGGCAGGGGGCGGAGGTGCGGGGGAGGGGTGGGTGGGTGGGGTGGGTGGGAGGGGGGGTCCAAGCCGCCCCAGTACGCCCTGGGCGAGCGGTGCCGGAGCAGCGAGGCGGCCACGCTCTGCGCTGCGGTGTACGGGCCTCGGGGTCTCCTGCCCGCCTGGTGTCTCGGCTGATGCCGAGGGTCGGTGCCCATCCCGCGCTAAGGCGACCCGGCCGGGCCGCCGAGCCGGGCCGGGGGCCAGAGCCGGTGCCCGAGACGGAGCGCGAGCCTGTGCTCGCGGCACTCGTCAGAAGTTAAGGTAAGCAGGGCCACAACCGGCCGCTCTCAGCGCTGAATGGCGGAGTTTACGTCTGGGTGATTTATGGCTGCAGACTTAAATCTCGGTTCAAGAAGAGTTCACAAGCCGGAGCTTCCTTCTCGGCAGTGACTGATACCCTTACACTTCGAGTTCAGGCCGCTTTCCCATCCCCGCCCCCACCTCTTCCATCTCCCCTAGCTCAGCTTCAACTTTTCCTGGTTGGGGGGCGGGGGAAGGGACGCGGGGGACTCTTACCCTAAGTTATCGCTCTAATTTGGGGTGACTGCAAGCGGAGGAGAGGAAGGAGTGAAAGGAGGGATGGGGATCTGAAAGAAGGAGGTTGAATTTGGGTACATCTTCCAGAGAAACAAAAGGGGCTTGCTTCCTTGCTCAATTTAGCTTCCCCAACTCTCTCTTCCAGCTCTTGCACCTGGGGGTTATTGTCCAGAAACAGATCTTCGTGAAGGAATCTCCCCATATCCCCATCCCTTGTTTGAGGGTACAAAGCAAAGTTTCCTGGCTGGCAAATCTCCAACTTCTTTACTAGGTTGCAAACTTTGGGGGCTAGGTTGGAGGGGGATGGGTGTATGAGTTCCAAGGTGGTGGTCTGGAAACCTCAAACAATAGGAAGTGCTTTGGTGAGATCTAAGAGTTGAATTCATATTTTAAGTTTATGGAGCTGTTGTATGCTCTTTGATTTTCAAAAATATTTTTGTTATTTTGCAAGACCATGCACAACTTGAAGAAAGGCTTAAGTAAGCAGCAGGCTGGTATAGAGTGTGATAATGGATTAGCAAGTCACTAGAATTATTGCATGTTCAAAATCAACTTAATTTTGTTTTATCTAATATCTTGCTGTTCAAGTGTCTAGAGTAATTTTCTTAACCTGACGTTTTATTTTACCCAAGCCTGGTATCTAAAAAATTTATAATGGCAGACATTAACACTGCCAAATGTAATAGGATCTGTTTTCAGTGAAAGAAAAGGAAACTAAGACATTAGATTGCTATGTAGTTTTAAATTTTATTTTATACTTTATTTGCTTTCTATCATGGTATCTATGGCTTCTTATGTGTTTCCAAAACAGAAACAATACAGTGGGGTTCATGATAAAACGCAAAATATGCAGATAAGGGATGCTGTAATTTTTAATTGAGGTTCTGGAAAATTGTGTCTGTTTTCTAGAGGTTAGTCAGATTGTTGGTTTAATAATAAAAATCTAAAGAAGACTATTATTAAAGATAAAATTATAACCATCCACTGGTGGATGCAATATGTTGTCTTTTTTTTTTTTTTTTTTTTTTTTTTTTTTTTAGTTAACAAAGTATCTGATATTCCTGGAAACTTGAATAACTCTGGCACTCAATGTATATAGTTAGGGCATGAAATGTAAACCATTTTCTTCATGAATCTGTTATTATAATTATCTTAAGTGGTCAAAGGAACTAACATGGAGACAGAGAATATATGAAACTTAAATGGAACTTTTTTGTGCTGAGAACTAGAGGGTGACTATGCAACGACTTTTGTAAATGGATTTCTAAATAAAAGAGGGCCAAGGCAGTTTTTGATTGCCTTTTAGATTTTCAGTGTTATCCTTTACTGTTTCTGAAGCAGGTAAATAGGCCAAGTAGCAACTATAAACAACAACAACAGCACACAAAGATCAGGGAACTCTGGAAGGATTTTATGGCTTGTGCTTCCATCCCTCGTCCAGAGCCAAATGACCCCCATACATCAAATTACATAGCAGTTTCTAAGACAGAACCTATTATCGTTAAGTTGGGAGGAGAGTTCAAGCCGTGGTCATGGAGATGAACGCTGGTTTTTCAGGTTCCTGGTGGGTTGTTTTTTCCTCCAATCCATCATGTTTTAACAGGTAGAATTTGATAGTTGCCCTGAATAACAGCACCTCAGAAGGTCCAAGGCATGAGGGTCCAGGAACCTTCTGTAACTAGGGGGAAAAGGTGGGGGTGGCTTGTGGGATATGCCTGAGAAAGAGGGAAAGAAAAAGAGCAAAGAACTGTCCAGGATTGGAGTTGTGACTTGCTGGATGGGGTGTTTTTGTTGATCCCTCCCTCTACACACACACACACACACACACACACACACACAATGTATTTTTCCATCCAGAGTTTTTTCTCCCCATCTCCTCAGCCACAAGGGGCTCATTTGGAGGAGATGGGTCATATTCCTGAACAAGGGTGAATTAACTGCCTAACAAGCTCAGCTTCTCACGTTGAACATGGTAAAATTAGGCAATTGTCTGAAATTTTTCTGTGCAAACCTTTTTGGAGGGCAGGAAGGACCAAGAAGGGGCTAAGCGGGAAGTTACCCCGTGTCAGAATTCTTCTGGGTAACACCGGTTTTAAAGCGGAGACAAAATTAAGGACTAAGCACCCCTTTGCTTCCTCACCCCATCCCCAAGATCCGCAGAAGGGACACTTTGAACTGAGGACAGGAGCAGAGAGAAAGGAATACGACACCCCAAGTTTCTTCTTCCCTGGAAAAGAAGGATCCCAACCTTATTCCTTTCTAGCCTATCAGACCTTTCTTCTTTTGGACCCCCAACACCCAAGAATCAGCTTCCAGTCCTCACTTACTCTCCTTCTCTCTCCCCGGAAAATCCCCTAACTCCAGACGCAAGTTAAGCAAATATTTGTAGCTGCCAGTAAATTCCAGCGGCTTTTTATAGCGCAGCTCCCTGCGCCCGGGGCCAAGTCGTGCTGCTAAATATTGCTGACCACTTTTTCTTTTATGGCTTTCATGTCACTTAGCTATTGAGAGTAAGATGGATTTGCGCGGAGCCCTCACCGCGCTACGCTTCTCGCCCCCCTCCCCCAGGTCTGCGCGGGGCGGCCATTGGCGGCGGAGCATCACGTGACCGCGGGGGCGTGCCAATGTGCGCCCTCACGGGTGCCAAGCCCCTGTCAAGAGTGTGCGATCAAGATCGTGAAACAACGCAATGCAAAAAGCGACCTACTACGACAGCTCGGCGATCTACGGTGGCTACCCCTACCAGGCAGCCAACGGGTTCGCTTATAATGCCAGTCAGCAACCCTACCCGGCGTCCGCAGCTCTTGGCGCCGATGGCGAGTATCATCGACCAGCCTGCTCACTCCAGTCTCCCGCCAATGCTGGGGGCCATCCTAAGGCACACGAGCTGAGTGAAGCGTGCCTGCGCACCCTTAGCGGCCCGCCTAGCCAGCCTCCAGGACTAGGCGAAACATCCTTGCCCCCACCGCCGCCCCAGGCCGCACCCCCTGCCCCACAGCCACCTCAGCCCCCGCCACAGCCCCCGGCACCCACGCCTGCAGCGCCCCCGCCACCTTCTTCTGTTTCCCCACCTCAGAATGCCAGCAGCAACCCCGCCCCCGCCAGTGCAGCCAAGAGCCCCCTGCTCAACTCGCCCACTGTGGCCAAACAAATCTTTCCCTGGATGAAAGAGTCGCGGCAAAACACAAAGCAGAAAACCAGCAGCTCCAGCTCAGGTAAAGGAGTGCCTTCTGGAGGAGGGTCCTCTGGCCTGGTCCCCAGCTCCTAAGCTACTTTCTGCCACATCCAGCACAGTCTGGGAGCACTGAAACATTTCCAGGAATTCACTGCTCCTTACACCCCCCGCCCCCAAGAAAAAAAGGGTTCCAGAGTCTTTAAAACTTAGGGAGGTGTTAGACTTTTGTGGCTGGGAAACCCCAGAGACCTGAGTCTTTCCTCTCTGGACGTTTGCAAGGGAAAGTGGGGCCTAGTGCAATTGGAAAATCTTCCTGTTCCACTCTTGGAATTAGAACTCTAAGCAGAATCAACCTGAGCTGAGCTCCACTGCCTGTCTCCTCAATTCTAATGAAACAGTGACATCCTTCCCATACTGAAATGTGGCAGAATAAAAGCAGGTCTAATCACCCTTCAAAACAGAATCAATGCTTTGCCTATAATCAGAGCCAATTTTTGCTCCAGCAGATGGAGTGGCTGCCTTACCTCTGGGAAGATCCTGCTCAGATTTAGTACAATGGAAGCAGCCAGAGATCTCCTGGGAGAGGGGATGAGGACTTGTCATCCTAATGGGAACCACATGAGCCTCCTGGAACTGGACTCCAGTGGAGGAAAGGCCCCAGGCCTTGGGCTTCCTAGCATTTTGGTTACCTTTGCCCCTGCATTCTCCAGTTGCCAGTGCTCTGCTCTGAGCCTGAGCATCTTGGACCTCCAAAGGCAGGCCTGGAAGGCAGGAAGGCTCATGATTTGTGAGTAGAAGCTGGGAGCTAGGAAGGCTGCTTGATGTTGTGGGGAACCCTAATGAATAGGACCCAGCATGAGAGGCCTAGGTCTCCCACCAGCAATACCTTCAAATGAGAGGCCTAGGTCTCTCACCCAGCATGAGAGGTCTAGGTCTCCCACCAGCAATACCTTCAATGGGATCTCTTTTGGGGGTAGAGAAGCCCATTCAGTTTGGGGTCTCTACTCTGCTCATCTCCTATTGGTAGACAGAAATAAATTGAAGCTACTGCCTAATCAGTCAGACAGGGAAGGAAAGAAGGTTTTGTGTATGTACATAAAGAGTCCCACATTTCAGTTAATTGTGAAGGGAATGAAGATGGTGAGACCTGCCCACCAGAAGCTTGTTGTCTGATAGACTCAAAAGATCAGTATATGAGTCAGTATATGAAAAGTTAATGGCTCCACAAAGGAAATAACACACCTGGAAAGCAAACTGGGGGTTCTGCCTTTCTGTGCCTTCCCATAGAGGAGCCTATGATTTAGTCCTTGGCTGAATGAAGGACTAGTTACCTACATTGTCCCCCACCAAGAGAGAAGATAACACCTAGTTTCTTTCTTTCTTTCTTTCTTTCTTTTTTTTTTTTTTTTTT